TAAAATGTCAGAACAATGTTGTGGTATTAGCATTGGTTTTAACCGTCTGACGAACTACCGTGTTACTGATTAACGGATCTCAATTCGGATACTTAATTCTACCCTTCATGGATACTCAAACGAACTAATTTATCAGCTATAGAATTTTGTGTTTCCCTAACACATCGGTGATATATTAGAGTATAAAGCTATCTTAAATACAAAACATGCGATATAACGTGGTAAATAATCAACTATAGAGGAAGGATGCGAATGTCTCCAATATTTTGGCATTACATAATAAAATAAATTCAAAAGCAGCCGAGCAAATGTCACTCATTTCTTGTTCTGACACCCGAAAAATGTAATCCATGTGCATAAAATTATCGAGAAGTTAGGAGAGGTTCACCACCGGCAGTGAAATGGAGGTTCTGATTTGAATTAACTTTGTGGAATAAATCTGGCATTGAGGTGGAGGAGAGTCCTGAAACATACAGACCTGGCAACGGATGGTGGTAAAACATGCATGTCTTTCGAGATGACTAATAAATAGCTGACGCCAGTTCGAATAAGCGGGCAGAGCCAAATTTTGACGTGGGAGAAGAAATTGGTTTCTCTGCATACCAGATAAACGAACTGGATGTAGCAAAGATGGTGGATCTGGTAGGAGGGGTGGACAAATTAAGATGTGGGATCATGAGAGGAATATTCCACCACTGAGGAGGAGATGCAACCTTGGATGGAGAAAATGTAGGACTGAATTGCTTCCGTGATACACACAATGAAGGTTATGTGGCAATAAAAGATAGATAGGAAGCAGCTTCGGATTCTGGTTAGATGCCTTTCTTTCGTTCAGGTATCCTCTTATTGATGTTGAAATTCTTAAGGAGGGATTTATTAGCCAGACGGTGAATTTGATGAACTGAAACTGGTTCCGGAGAGAGACTTGGACGAGGGAAAAAGGTTTAGAGAGTTTCAAGGAGCAATTTGGGTCAGATGGAGAAGGAGCGTAGAAATTGGTGCTAGGCATTGATAGAATATAGGAGAATGCAGTTATGAAGAAAACAAACGAAGAGAAAAATGCAGAATCGAAGGTCTGTTATATTGATCCTAAGTGATTCGAAGATACTGACCAAGTAAAACAGAATTTCAATAATCCTGTAATTGGATCGCCTATATTTTTGTGGTACTTGAGTTTCAAACAAAATGTCCATATCAGAGCATAGCAACATTGAGGATGTCATGTGAGACCGTGGCCCCAAGAGAATAAAATTAAGGAAACAATAACACAGATAGCTATGTTATGTATGGGCTAAATTAACATGGTCTCCAGTGATTCGGAGATTTGATTCATTTGCCTTTTCAATAGATTTAACGTTGGAGTAAATGTAATAACAAAAGAATCCACATTGCTGACCAGCTTGACCCCACATTTATTTGGTCGAGCTTTCTGGGTCTTTATCTGTCTTTAGTCAATGCTTGACGACGGCCGAGTGATATACATGATCCCCAGCTAGTCCCATCTGCAGCGACGTCCCCTTATCAGCAGAATTACTCAGGCCTGAATGAGTTGGCTGTATGTTGGCATGCTGTAGGGCAGTCACCCTAACAGGCAGTACACGGTCATTTGCATTGCTGCCTGCATTTCCTCGTTTCTTCAACTTGCAGCCAAGACTTTTGTGGCCGAACGCCTTACACATTGAGCAAA